AAAGGTCATCATACAGGGCGACCAAGGCAGTCTCTGTACCAAAACCCAGCCTGAAACCTGATTGAAATGGATCCAGAAAATCCATTTCATCCAGCAGCGCCTGGAATTGCCCAGCCACAACCCACTCCAACACTTTGCCCAAATAAGGGAGGTTCGCCACTGGTCATTAGTTAACCACCAGCCTTGGGTCCAGGTTAGGCTTTTTAAGGAGTGGTCGAATTACCGCCTCTTTCAAGGTGGTAGGGACCACTCCCTCTCTCAAAGAGGCATTCATGGCCTCCTGAACCCAAGTGCGAACCGCCCTGGCAGATCTTCCAATTAGCCTAGATGGGCAAGGGTCGAGCAGAGTGGTGGTAGAACGGACAGATCCAAGCACCCTGTCCACATCCTCGGGTCTCAACAATTGAAACTCATCCATGGTGCACAAAAGAGCTGAGCATCGTCTGTCCACCTTCCATCCCCCATAACTTCCAGCCAGTAGCACCGCCTGCGTGCACTGCACCACCGCCCCAGGCTGGCCTCACTCTCGCAGCCCCAATGGCTCCCAGCCCACTGCTGCTGTTGCTCTGGCCACTCCCTCCCCCTTTTCATGTGGGCCTCTACAGACAGTGGGCGCTGGGCAAATGCCCACTTTGTGGCCCTGGTCTGTTCTAGCAAGACTCAACAAAGCTGCTCTGTGGTCCCTTAAGATCCCAGTGAGTATGAGCAGGATCACTATGTGGAGGAGAGTAAGGACTCTAGCTGGCCCCGTTTTAGGCAGATGAGATTGTAACTTCTCCAAATTCTGTGAAGATTTGCCAGGTATAAATTGAGTAAGATGGGAGCAAGAACCCATCCTTATCTGAAACCTTGAGAGCTGGCAATCTAATGAGATGTCCTTGATTTCTGCAGGGAACCTGTGTTATGATAAACTGACTGAATGAAAAAAAAATGCAAGCCATCTATTTGTGAAGTGCCGCTCTAATTTATTCCAAAGATGACTGTGAGAAATAGAATCAAAAGCAGATTTTAAATTGATAAAACCTGCAAGGAGTTCACTCCCCTGCGGCATAGAGTATTTGTGCACCATGCAGTCCAGTACAAAGGAGTGACCGAGAATGAAATAACCTGCTTTGAAACTAATTTGCTCTTCTGAAGATTCGTATTAAAAAGCAAAATTTGAGATCCTTCCAGTAAAACTCTCAAGGCAAGGAAAGAAAGTGGGGTAGCCAAATAGCTACTGGAACTAATTTATCATTACCATAATCCTCGAGTTTGGGACCTTAAAAAGGAGCACAACGTTTCCCAGCTACAAATAAGAGGCTAATAGTTTGAAAAATCAATGGGCCATCTTTTGGGCCCTTCTTATAATCTGGAGCAGAATAAGTAAATATATATATCCATTTTATGTCCCAATGAGAGTAGACCCACTGTAATAAATGAGACTGACAATTCCCATTCATTTCCAAGCACCGCCTCTGGTTGGAACTAAAATCTAAAATCTATCCCAATATTTGTTCTACCCTAAATCTGTGACAGTCACTCATCACTTCCAGCACGAATACACACAATAATATGCTGTTTATTCCACAGCACAGCCACTTTTAGAGCTTTTTATTTTCTCTGACAAAATGACTCAAGAGGACTAAATGGGATGTTGTCATGAATAAACAAGCCATGCTGATGGAAAAGATAAAGTTCTTCCATTTCAGGACAAATAATTAAAAGGTATATTCTTTCTATACATATGGTGCATAACTCGCATGTCATGTTGCCAAAAACTGTATTAATAAAAGTGCTCATGCTCAAAACAAGTAACGACATGGGGAAAAAAAAACTACACTTCTTGGCCATTGCTCTGTAAATTATCAAATATTAAAGATAAGTTCACAATCCAAAGCTTTATTTCTACATGGGATTCCACGAATCTGCTTTAGGAAGGAATGCCTAACTACTGATGCAAAGCAGATTTGTCTAACCACGATCAAAAAATGGTCTTTTAGACCAGATGGGCAGGGTATAAATTAAATCAATCAATCAATCAGTCCATCCATCCATCAATCAATCCATCAATCAATCAATCAAACTATCATGGAGGGGGGGAACCATATAACAAGAACTAGCATATAGACATAACTTCATGTGTGTTCTGTCAAGTTACCAGTGTAAAGAAGTTTCAGAGTTGTAAATGTCAGAATAAAGTACCAATGGATATAGATAGTAATCTGAACTGGGGCAAAGGCTCAGACATCATCAAAGGACCCCACCAGTAAATTTATATGCAGACTGCTCCTGTAGGGCTGGCTCTTCTTTACTCCTTAGGGTCACTTCCTGTTTTCTGTTCTTCCAATTTTAGTTACAAAGGATTGCATAAAAGGAATCCAGCTGCAGAAGTTTCTGCAACCACATTAAAAGATCCTTCCTCCTGCTCTATCTTGACCGCACATTTTTCCGTTTGCCTTATTACCAGTCCAGACTCATTATTTCTATTCAACAGATACAATCTCATTGCTAAGCTAATAGAATCTGCCAGTAAAGTGCCAAATAGTTCTAAGAGTAGGGATAGTTATTAAGAAGGTCTCCTCTTTCGACGTATGGTGAGCAAATTGCAGATGATGCTGTAAATCAGAAGAAAACTGGTAGACAGTGAGCCTCAGGCTAAGATCATTTGAGATGTAAGTGCATACAATCTTGCCCCTGCAGTAATTGTATATAATACCATATATGGATCTTTTGTTTGCACAAGTGGTACAGTACATAAAGAATGATCTCTGTTCCAAACAGCTGACTTATGCTTGTACAAGGAAGTCCTGGATTTTCTAGTACAAGCAGTGAAAAAGCTCATTGCACTACATCTAACAAAATCCTGGTTCCAGTTAGGCGATCCACAGAAAGATTATAAAAGAGAAAATCATATCTCTACTTGATCTTCTCCCCTTATTGGGCACCACTGAGAGCACTTTGACAGACCAGAATCACTGCACAGGATATCAAGGACCTAGTCTAGGGGCTGTGATTTTTATTTACAATGTAGCCTACCAATTTTTCCTTAATGATCAGCCAAGTGTGTCTTCTAGTGAGTTTGGTCTCAGTCCTGCTGTTTTCATCATATGGTTTTGATAATGAAACTAACACAGTGTCAAAGAAAAGAAATGTGGAAACTTCAGTTCTGCATGTGTTTTGATCCATTTAAAATGTTTGTAAAGAAGTCTGCTGCAACCCATAGAATCTTCAAGTGTTGGAAGTGGGAGTTTGAGAACCATAAATAAAACGTAAATTATTGTTTGGACTGGTCATGCTGATTAGGGAATTCTGGGAGTTATAGCCAGGTTCAGGACCACACTATTACATTTTTTGCTGGCCATTCATAACCAGAAGACTGATTTTATGAACTCTACAGAGTTATTTTAAGCCAGGAATAATTCCTATTAAGGGCAAATGTTTAAGAGTTGACTTTTCATTTGCTCCTGAAAATATATTCTAGCAAGTGTTTCTTACAGAGCACAGACGACTCTTTTAGCCCACTAAAGTCCCTGTCTCTATATCTCTTAAGTCAATTTTGCTGAAAGGGAATATCAGGAGAAAAGATTCCATACTCTTTTGCTGACATGCATTAACCACTTTGTACTATTAAGAAAGGATCCAATAAATACTCCCAATTTCTCATCTGCATCTCAGCATGTTGAGACACATTGAAAATGGGATGAACACTGCAAAACGTTTTGCTCCTGCACAAAAGCAGAAAGACCAACACTTTCCCCCCAAGAAAAATAGCATTTTTATGCTAAATATATGGCTTCTGTGCAAATATATGGCTTTCTGATGTGAGTATCTGACGTGAATTTCACTATTATATAGTGAAAACAGTGCCTAACATTACTGTGGATGATGAAAAAATCCAGAACAGAAACCATTTTAAGTGAGAATGAGGGAAGGTGACATTGTGTGAAAGAAAAAAGTGACCATGGACTGAGGAAGGATAAAAAGAAATGTGTGAATCCAGTCCAAATGATAATTTATAGCTCCATAAAAGCAGGACCAGTTGTACCTAACAACTAAAGAAGTCACATTCATTGGTTGTTTTCTTCAGGGCTGTCTTGACCAACCTTGACCATCTTTCTTGTAGAGCAATAGCCTGCATTTTGTGTGAATTTTTCTAAATATAAAAACATTACAGTTTTGACAGATCATAAGCCCAGTAGTAGAGGTTCTGTGTTGCATATATAAAGACTGAGGATCAATCCACTTGCCTTTTCTTTTAGAAGAGCCAGAAAATACACTTGCTTAATATCCTGGACAGCCACTCTTGACAAGTGTCAATGACGTTCAGCTGGATGGGTCATAGTTGAGATCTTGCAATCCACCATCCCATGAGGTTATATTTTTGCTGTTATAATTTATTTCAACCATGGCTTTCTAGGGATAACATGCACACAGACACACAGCACACACACAAGCATTCCTTTACCTCATAGGCATTCTTGATATTCAAAGGCTGTCCCAGGGCTGCCACATGGCCCACAATTCCTTTGTTCCATTCCAAGCGGATGCAGTTGTTTGAAGCTTCCTCCAAGGTAGAACCTTCAGCTACATCAAAGAGCCTGCTAACAAGAAATTTCTCATTGGAACTATCTTCACAGACCAGGAACAGAGAGTAGCGATCAGCAGCAATTAGTTCATTGATGTGCAGGAAAATTTTGTGGCAAAGAGCTGTGACATCCAAATGACTGGAAATATCCTTCACAAGCTCTAAGAGCCTTGAGCATTGATCCCCTGCATCAGTGCCAAGCGTCCGAGGCTGGAGAGGCATCTGCTCCTTCTTTTCTGAATCTGATAGGAAGCTCACTGTTCCAACAGAATCCTTGACCACAATGGGCCTAAGAGGTCTATCAAATTCAGAAGCAGATATCTTTCTGGCTGGTGGTGTGGGGTTAGGGCTCTCCACCCGTTGGGACTGGTGAGAGGAACAAGAACAAGCTTCGGTGTGATGTTTAGTCCCTTCCTTGCACACTGGAATTGTATGGACTCTCTCAGAAAACCATGCATTGACCATCTCTCTGCAAAAAAAGGAGAGATATGTTATCAATAAGCTATCTTAATAGTTCTCCTCGATCAATAATATATAAGGAGATGATTCCCAAGTGGGAGGATCTAGGGATGTGGCGTTCTTTTTTATTATTATTATTATTTTGGATTCCAACTCCCAGAATTCTCCCTGGAAAATTCTTAGAGAATTCAGTGTATCAGAGTAAAAAAAAAAACCCAGAACAACAACAAAACAAACTACACATCTCTAGTAGGATCCATGCCTTTAGCACAACAGATTTAGGAAAAATACATTTTGTTTAGCCACAAACTTCTTAATATGGTATTTTTCATTACGGGCCAATGTAGGCGACGCCTTGAAGCAGACCTGGCCTGCGGACAGTTTTGAACATTAAAACCATGTATAGCTTTTTGTCTAAAGTTGATCAGTTGTTTATCTTTAACATAGCGCAAAAAAACCTCATTAATATTTGTGAAGATTAACAAGTTTAAAATAAAAACAATCATAACATCACTGTTTCATTTTATTTTTCAGTAAAGTTGGTTCGGCCTACAAACACAGTTCAGATTTTTCATGTGCCCCCCCCCAATAGAAATTAATTGCCCACCCCTGTCTTGAAGCCTTCAACATCTTGTGTTTCATAAAAAGACATTCTCTCACACGCTTCAGAAAAAAAAAATCAACAAATAAGTTTTCTCACGGTTATATCTTTGATGCTCCTGCATACAAGCCCTTTCTTATGGTTCAGAAGAATGACAGAGTGTGAAAGAAAATAGTCACCACCATATAACCCACACCAAGAGTTTGGAAACTTTCTTTTTGAACTACTCTGTAGGGGAAACACTATCAATGCTACCTATTGTATAAGAGTTGTAATATAGAACAAATTTATTCAAAAACACAGTCTTAATCTATATTAGTACCTAGCCCTACAACACAGAAGCTACATATACCCACACACAAAAATAAAGCTATTAAATATATACACCATAATACAGTAGCAAATATGTTCAACAGTAAAGAAAAAAATAACGTACAATTATTCTTCTGTTGTTTCCAAAGAAGTGAGCAGAAATACATGATATTGAAAACCATTACTACTTTTGCAGTCCCCAGAATCCGCCAGCAAACCTGATCAACTCTGGGCATAACTTATCTATATTTTGTGCTACAATTAGCATACACACACTTCTCAAATTCTGATGGCAGACAGCCCCAATTTATTTCCCTAGTCTCCAGTCTGTACAAATTTCTCACCCTAGTGATCATCTTAAAATTGTGTGGCTAGAAGAGACTCTATGGATCGAGTTCAGGCCCTGTCAGGGAGGCACAGTGGGGAATCAAACTCCCAACCTCTGGCTCTGCCTAAGCCACTGAGCTATACAGCCCATACCCTAATGATGATTCAGTTTTCTAGAAACAATTATTTTAAGGGGAGGAAAGCTAAGTTTCCTACATCCTTTACATGCAAAACAACTCAGTGCCCCTGAGCACCTTCAGGTAAGGCTGGGAAAGACGTCCACCAGAAGCATTACAGAGCTGTGGCCTGTCACTGGACAGAATCCTCTTGCACATGTCTAAGTTAAATTGCATAAAACACTGTCATAAAATCCATTAATTAACAAGATGACTTTCACATTACAAGGCATTCCCTTGTCTGCACAACAGGTTCAACCCTGGTAACATGAGCAATGCTTTGCTGATTCATGGCAATTCATCACAGTGAATTATGCAATTTAACTTATGCATGCATAGATCACCAACAGGATTCTGGCAACTATAAACAGTACTGAATTATATGGTCTGAAGTGCTTTAAGTATCAGTTTCCAACTGTGCACTCATGTCAATGTGTCAAGGAAACTACAACAACATGTCCTGTGGCACCTTAAAGTCTAACACAACACATTTATTAGGCTTTAAAGTGCTGGCTAGTCAGTGGCTTAGGTATCTGGTTGCAGAGACAGAGGTTGAGAGTTCGATTCCCCACTGTGCCTCCAGGGAGAAGACCCTTGGGCAAGCTGCACATTCCCAGGGTACTCCCAGAAGAAAGGAATCGTAAACCATTTCTAAGTATTCGCTACCTAGAAAACCCTGAAAAAAGTTACGATAAGTCAGCATTGACTTAGCACAGAATGATGATGATGATGATTTCTTTTGGTACAAGGCCTCTCACCCAAGTTCTGAGGCACTGGAAGCAATGACACATAACTATGGGCCTGAAAAAAAGTATAACACAAACAAAACGGGCAAAAAGGAAAGAAAAAACGTGCTAAAGAAGCTTGAACATGCTCAGTGGCTACAGAATATTGACCTGTCAGTTTGCAAGTGGACATCAGTGTAACAATATTAGAGAAGGCATGAATTAAAAAACAAATCAAATTTGTTCCAAAATCACTAATTGATCAATTTGTATTCATACAAATCTATGCCCCCATGAATATGAATTAATGCATTTTAGTGATTTTTTATTTATAGTTTTGTCGGGCTATAAAACAGCTCTCCAGACACATTGAGACACCAAAATGGCACGCAAGCTTCATCTGACTGTTCTCTACTATCCTTCCAAGTTTAGTAAAGACTGAGTTTCAGATGTCTGACAAAGAGCTTCCCCCTTCCCCAGGAAAGTTTCCCCCATGCACCTAGACACACCAAAATCACAGATAAGCTTTTACTGACTCTCCTCTTCTACTGACTCTCTCCCCACCAGGGGTGGGGTTGGCCTCCATTGGGGCATATAATTTGGATGTCCAAAAATCAAACTTCACCAAATGTTGTAGGGTTTGTAGAAACTCAGGGGAAACTTCCCTGAAATGTGCTTGCGGGGGAGGGGAATTTAATAGGGTTTTAAAGTCAATAATGAATTGACAAACCGATTTGTCAATTTGTCAGTAAAAATTGTAAATTTGTAATTTTTCAGCCTTGTTGAATCATGAATCAAAATGAATCATAATTTTTCTGATTCTTGCCCATCTCTAAACAGGATACCCAGTGTGGTGTAGTGAAGAGAGTGATGGACAAGGACTCAGGAGTTCACACACACACACACCGCTCAACTATAGAAGCTCATTGGGGGTGTTGAAGAGATAAAATTACTCCTTAAATATCTCACTTACCGTGAAAGCCCTATTAGGGTCGCTACAAGTTGTTTCTTACTTGATGACACATAAGAACAGCAATAAAGTACAGTGGTGCCTCGCTTGACGAGGATAATCCGTTCCAGCAAAATCGCTGTAGAGCGAAATCCTCGTCAAGCGAAATAAAAAAGCCCATTGAAATAAATTGAAACCGGTTCAATGTGTTCCAATGGGCAAAATACCTTAGCGTCCAGCTAAGATCCTCCACAGGGCGGCCATGTTCCAATGCCTGTGCAGCGAAAAATCCATCCTGAACACAGCGGGGAGCCATTTTGAACAGCTGGTGGCCATCAGCTGTTTTGATCGTCGTAATGTGAAGAATTGGTTGCCGAAGCAGGGAACCGATCGTCATAAAGCTGATTTTGCCCATTAAAACATCATTTTGCTCCAGGTTTCACTAGTAAGAATTAATTCAAAAGGTTCACATTCATTGTTAAGCGGGGTAATCGTTAAGCGGGGCACCACTGTAAGTAGAACAGTGAATCCCAGAATAGTGACTGACATGTAGATGTTGAAATTATCACTTTTTGCTTCAGGTTTCACTAGTAAGAATTAATTCAAAAGGTTCACTTCATGCAGTTTCTGAGGAAAAGCCAGCTTGATACAATTGCATTTATTTAGATTTATATTAATAAAAGGGTGCCAGAATAAGAGAAGATGCTGTAGGTATAAAGTTGTGTTCTGTATATTAAGTAAGCACTTACTAAAGCAAATGCCCTGATTTGTTATACCCTCAGAGCAAAGAACAACTAATTGCTCTTGTGTTAATAACCTATTCCATTTCTTTGATTCTGGAAGAATAGGTCTCAGTAATTCAATAACATTACAAGCCCAAATTGGTACAGAACTTTATCCTTTACAGATGGTGGAGCCATGACTGCCAAGTTTCCAGATTATAGTTTGACATAAGCTTCCATGGAAACTAAAAGGCTGAGGGGGGGGAATGTAGTGACTTGATACTCTGTCTTTCTGGGACTAAGTGCCTGTTGTCTGGAAGCAGCTTTTACTGGTGAACATGGGGGGGGTAGGACACTGGAGTCACTGGAGCTGATTTACTCCCTAATCATTAAAGAAGAGTGCAGCCACTGCTGTTTTTCAACCCCATCCCCCAAAACTGGAACTAGTCACTATTTTTACCTTAAATCCCCTGATGTGCAAACATCAGAATTCCATATATGCTGAAATAGCANCCTTAACCATTGAAGAAGAGTGCAACCACTGCTGTTTTTCACCCCCATCCCCCAAAACTGGAACTGGTCACTATTTTTATCTTAAATCCCCTGATGTGCAAACATCAGAATTCCATATATTCTGAAATAGCACCACAAATGCTACCGAGGCATCACCAAAAAAAAGAGAGAGGTTTTTGCAAGATATTGCTGCCACAAAATCTTCCTTCATGTTGGAGGAAATCTGGAGATGCACAAGCCCGTGCTTTCCCTCTTACTCCCTTAGCCCAATTTGAAATGGATCCAATTAAATCAGATGCATTTGGTTTCCTGGCTCTTCAAAATTAATCTGACTTCAAGACTAGGATGATTAGGAATCAGTAAGACCTCCAGAACAAGAACATTCTTAATTGTTTCAACAAACCAGTCTCAAACCTACTTTGATGGAAGTGGGAGAAAGAGAATTTGTGATATTCTTGGGGTTAGAGTTCAGTTCTTGGGCACCATCCTGAAGGCATACCCAGCAACATTAATGTGGACTCCAAACTGCAGAAAATTGTGTTTCTGAAGGTTCCAAGGACATCTTGATCTGGCATGCTGGGAGACTGAAGCTCATGACCCTATTGTTGTTATGAGTTTCTTCATCACCATTTCTTGGTAATTTTGGACAAGAGGTCACTAGGAAGATGCTGTATACCTGAGTAAA